CTTCGTAGTTCACTGATTAACTTGACACATAACTCATATAGCCTAACAGTCATCGTAATGTTAACAACATAGTAATATGACAGTTTGCTCTTCGTAGTTCACCGATTAACTTGACACATAACTCATATAGCCTAACAGTCATCGTAATGTTAACAACATAGTAATATGACAGTTTGCTCTTCGTAGTTCACCGATTAACTTGACACATAACTCATATAGCCTAACAGTCATCGTAATGTTAACAACATAGTAATATGACAGTTTGCTCTTTGTAGTTCACCGATTAACTTGACACATAACTGCTAACAGTGAGCCATTTTCCTCTTATTCACTTGACTTTGTTACGTTTAGAATAGCTTGTGAAACATTCTGAATCTGACATTGGAATCAGTTAAATGTCTTTGAGGATTTTATTTCAAGGTTACATGTCTATATGTCTGATTACTGTCTACATCACTTAACTTTTTATATTTTAAAAAGTTGAACAGTGAAATAGGTAATATTACTAACACAAACAAAACTTGTCTGATTACTATCTACATCACTTAACCTTTTTGTATTTTAAAAAGTTGAACAGTGAAATAGGTAATATCACTAACACAAACAAAACTTGTCTGATAGTGTCTACATCACTTAACCTTTTTTATATTTTAAAGTAATTTCTGAATCCCTTAACACAGTGGTTTCAAAACTGTATCAAAGCAAATTGCTAGGGTGTCACAAGAGTTTCACTACACAAAGAATAATTAAGAACATAAAAACAGGTATATAATAGCTCTATAAAATAAATTATTGCATATGGCAGAAGGAGTGTCAACAAATCAAGCTAAGTGGGAACCACTGCCTAAATAATTGGTAATGAAAACTAGGTGTATATATCAGTATAATAAGAGGCATACAATGGTGGTACTCAGATAATTAACACTTGAAACCATCAGTACCTGGTGAAACCCCATAACTACAGAATTGAGGAAAACAAAGACAAACTCTACTTGTGAAACATACAACTGTCTTTGTTTTCTGTAATGATGACACTTGCACAGAAGAAATTCATTCTTGAAATAATCTTAGTTAAATGTATGTTAGGAAGTGAACTTCGTACCAGTTTCAGTTTTCCATGGCTTCCCAGCATCCCAGTACACTGGTAAGTCACGGTCTGCCAGCAGGTGGTGGTATCCCCGCAAAAGCAGAGCCAGTTCTTCAGTGTCTCTATCTTCCAGGTTAAAATTGAGGGCCTGAAATTACAGTGGACATTAATTCTATAATTACATGGATTCGTTGCGAATGTTGTTAGTCAAAAAGTAAAAGGATTAAACAAAGCTTATGACACTTGGAGTAGCTCTTTGTGGATATTATTTATTAGTCTCTAACCCTATTACCTCAAAATGCACATCATCACCTTCCACAGAATTGCACTCAAAATTTAATCAAACAACTTTATTATCGATGTATGCTAATAAACTTGGCATTAAAACATAGTTTACAATTCAAAGTTTTATATTATTTAAGTTTTAATTTCAAAAGGAAATATTTAAATAAAATTTCAATATTCACTTCTCTATGTCACGAGAGACATCTCCCCTTACAATTCTCCTGTTTATGTTGTAGATTTTAGTGTGTTCAACCAATTAGAAACACAAACTACAGATAGTAAGAGGCCAAAATATGAACTTTCTACCTTCTCAAATTGCTCACATATTGCTCATCAATGAAGCTCCTCCCACCTTATCATACATTGAACAAAATTATCTATACCACTCATCTTTACGTGAAGGACGTGCTTACAACCACTAGAGAAAGAGCAATTTTATGGCAAACAGAATCTCATTATGGATATTTCTTTTTGGTAGGCAGATCTAGACACTTTGACTCAGATGGGTTATGTGTGATCATTATTCTTCAGCTTAAGTAGTTAATGGAATTTCTTTTATCTATTAAAGCTTAGCTAGAAATCCAGCTAAATTATAGTAGTTTCGGGACATTCTAGTCTACTGCCCAATATATTTTGTGTGTTCTAAAATGCATATTTGAAAGCTATACGAGTTTTTATTTGATGAAGTAACTTAGTGAAAAATGTGAGGCCTAGCACAGTTACAGTATGCACTCACAAAGGTTACACAAGCTTTGCTCTGATCTCCGAGGTACTTGCTAATGATATTCTACTACGATTTATTGCTGGTTGATGGGAAGATTACTGTTCAAGTGAATACAGACAACAGCAATAAAACGATAAAATTAAAGAAAACACAAGTGAAAAGATTAACAGACCACTAATCCTGTGAAATGTTCCATTCACAGAAGAAAAATGAAAAGTACTGTTCATTTTACTTCATATTTTTCAACTTTCATGTCAATGTGGATGTTGCTCACTTTGCTACAGTTAGTGTTAGGATAACGAAAATAACAAATAAAATATAATTTCACAAGTAAAAACTTCTAATATTCATTTAGGAGGTTATGTAAATGAAACACAAAAAGTGTAATATGAAAAAGTATTTTTATTCTTAAAATTAATATCACCTTTTACTCAGAATAGTCAGGTTCAGACTGACTCAGTAAAGGCTTCACAAATCTTTGGTAAAAATATTTCATTAATTTTTTTTGTGTGTGTACAACAGTTATGTAATGTTTACTAAAAGCTTGCCACATTTCACAAAGATACATTTAGTAAATTTAAAATTACAGTAAACATTTCTATGTATAGCTTCACAGAAATGGGGTTGGTCTAACGGACTGATGCTTTTGACATAGGGTTAATGGTTTGTAATAGATAGTATCAAAAATGTTAAGTTATCAAAGACAAAATTATGTAAGTAGAGGATTATAACAACAACTATCGAGAGTGTATTAAAAACACGTTATTCGTTAACACTATTTAATATTAAGTTAGTTATAAACAGTTCAATTAACAATAAATGGCAGATTTAAAATTTTAAAAACTCAAAACACAATAACCTTATTAATTAGTGAAAGGTTATAAATTCTTAAAAACATGTTCAATAATGGACCAAGGAAAGCAGCTCACCCTAATATCTGGATTCTTGAGTCTAATTTCAACATTATAAGACATTTCATCTTCTTTTTTCATCACAAGAGAAGAAACTTCTTCGATCTGAGCTAGCATGACTGGTTGCTGGAAGGCAGATATAACTGATATTCAACATCTTTGAAATACAGACTTACAGTACAGGTTATTTAACAGAAATAAAGTATTAAAATCTTTGAAATACAGGGTTAAAAGGCTATTTAACAGAAATAAAGTATTAAAATCTTTGAAATACAGGGTTAAAAGGCTATTTAACAGGGATAGAATATTAAAGAGGGGTTGAGAAGTGGCTTTATATGTAAAATGTGAGTTACATCCTGTTGAAGTTGAGGATATCACAGATAGTAGCAAGGATATTGAATTCATTTGGGTTTCTATTAATGGATATAAAGGGAAAAGGCTTTTAGTAGGAATTTGTTACAGACCACCAAATGATACTGATGAAATATAGATTGGGAAATGATAAAGTCAAACCATGAAGGAGAAAGGTTTTTGGAAACTGTTCAGGATGGCTTTCTTCACCAATTAGTCAAGGAACCAACTAGAAACAATGCTATTTTATATTTATTGTTAACTTCAAATATAGAAATGATTGAGAGGGTAGAAATTGGGGAACATCTGGGTGCAAGTGATCATTGCTCTATTAGGTTCAATGTTTTGCTGCATATACAGATAAGGAATAATGATATTTTGGTTACAAATTTCAAAAAAGCAACTTTTGAAGGGATGAGACAAGAGTTATCTGTTGTGAATTGGGTAGCTGAGTTATTTAGAGACACTGATCAAATGTGGAATATTTTTAAATATTCAAGGTAAACATATTCCTAACAGAAAGAAAATGGTTGAAGAGATAAAATTAAAGAAAAGCATCATAAATTTAAGAAATCTAAATTGACTAGTATGACAGGAGACTTAGAAGGTCAAGAAAGTTTGTGAAACAGGAAATTAGGATATCAGAAAGGATGTATGAGAAAAGGTTGGCTGAAAATGTAAAAATTAACAGCAAGGATTTCTTTAAATCGATTAAGGGTAAACAAAATGTTAGGATGGGGGTAGGACCCTTGAGGGATGATAAAAGAAGGCTAGTATCTGATGATTGTGAGGTGGCTGGGTTATTAAATTTTGCTTTTTCTTCAGTTTTTACTAATGAAGTCTTAAGCAATATTCCAAAGCTTGATCAGTTGATAAATGGAAATGAGATCAAACAAGATGAGTGCAATAATTCTGAGCTGGTTAAGAAACAATTATGAAGTTTTAAAAATGATAAGGCTCC